TGACGCTCCTGAGGTGTTGAAGAAATTGGAAGATTCTCCCCACTCAGGTAAATGGAAGATATTCGTTTTTATAAATTGAACCTATTTTGGGATTAAATGTCGATTTCACTGGATTTCTTAATAGTTTGACGTTGCTGGCCTTGTGTGCCTAAGGTATCTGTCCTGTCTGCCTGAGGCCACCTCCAGGTTTGCCCAACTCCTCTGCCCTGTCTTCCCACTGCCTCCCCGCCTTCACTGGCTCAAGGAATTCTCCTTGTCAGCCAGATTGTTAGCTTACACCCCAGTCCTCCTCCTTGTTGGCCAGAGGCTTCCTTGTTAGCATGAGCCCATTTTGCTTGCTCTGGAGGCATCTTCGTCTGTGCTACGCTTCAGCCTTGTTTGCTCACGCTCAAGTCCTCTGTCCTTTCAGCCCGTGACCTCCCTCATTGACTCGGTCAAGGCATTGTCCTTGTCAGCACCAGGCCTCCTCTCTGTCACCCCGTCGCGCACTCGAGGACTCCTCCCTGTCAGCCCGAGGTCCCAGTCACCCGTAGCTCACTCGAGGCCTCCTCCCTGTGTACTGGATGCCTCCGCTGCCTCCTTGTGTCCACTAGGGGCCTCTGCCCTGTTTGCCTAAGGCCCCTGCCTTGCCTCCTTGTTCGCTTGCACTCAAGACCTCTGCACTGTCCACCCTGAGGCCTCCCTGTTTTCTGAAGCTCAAGGCACCCTTCTTGTCTGCCCAAACCCTCCTCCCTGTCTGCCCAAGGCCTCAGCCTTGCTCGAAGCTTCCTTCTTGTCCACCTGAGGCTTACACGTTGCTCATTTGAGTCCCCTGCCTTCCTCACTCAAGGCATCTGCCATGATGTCTGCCCATGGGGCTTCAAACATGTGACCACAATCTCTTTATAAAATCATCCATATATCCTTTCACCTCTTATTTAAAGATTTATGTTCCTGAGCTGAGTGTGGTGGCATACTGGATGCTGAAGCAAGGAGATCTTCGAGTTCTGCCTCAGCTCCGATACAGAGAGGCCTTGTCTCAGGGGAAAAAAGACAAAACGCTTAAAAAAAACACGGGGTGGTGGCGAACACCTTTAATCTCAGCACTCAGTAAGGAGGCAGAGGCAGATAGGTCTCAGTGAGTTTGAGGCCAGCTGGTCTACAGAGTGAGTTCCAGGACAGATCCCAAAGCAGTAGAGAAACCCTGTCTCAAAAACAAAAACAGCCAAGGTACCTGGTATATCCTTGTAAAAAAAAAAAAGAAAAACAACAAAAAAAACCACACAAACAATAACAAAGCATCACTTTTTAATTTCTTTTTCAGTTTATTTAATAAGCATTTTAAATGCTTTTGCATTTGAAATACTATTGCCTATTGAAGATGAGTGTTATTTTATTTCCAAGGCGTTTAGAAACCTTTTACTGTGCCCTGCTGTAACTGTTCAGAAACTCTATGATGTTTCTGTCTCTGCATTCTGAATGTGAGAGTTACAAGTGTTTGCCTCCATGCCTGACTTTTATCTATAAAACTTTAAAAAAATAATTTCATAATTCTAAACTGTGTTCTCCAATATTATCTCTAATGCAAGGCATCTTATAAACCCATGAAAATGTCAAACTGATAACAGCTTTGAAAGAAATTATTACAGAATTTATTTAAATTTTTGGTTGTTATCCTTTACTTTTATGAAATTTTAGTGAGAAACTCACACATGTATACAATGAAATACGATCGTATCCACCCCCATTCCCATTTCCAACTCCTGCCATATCCCCTCCCCAACAGGTTCCCTTCCAGTTTCATCCTCATGTCTTTATTTTTGTTTTTGATAACCCACTGATTCTGGTAAATGGCACATATACGTTATTCCAGGAGTATTCTCTTTGTATTCCAGGGTTCTATTGAGAATACCTCACTGAATTTGATTGTCAGATTTCTCCATAGTCCCATCCAGGAGTATAAGCCTGAAACATTTGAAGACTATTGGTAAAGAATCTTCTTTTTCAAGTTTTTTTGATCATTGATAATAACTTCATTTCATATGTACATCTTATTTCTTGGATCTTTTCACCTGTTGGAGTTCTAAACTGATCCCACTCCTGGTTATTGTGCAAAGTAACATAAGAAATGTGAATGTGCAAGTATCTCTGTGGCATGTTCATTTAGATTGCTTTACGTGGTATGGATGGACAGTAAGACAGTTATAGCTTTCATTTTTCAGGATCTGCCCTAAAGATTTTCGTATTTCCACCAGTGTTTTATAAGGATTCCTTTACCCCACATCCTCACCAGCATTTGTTGTCATTTAGCATATCGATGTACTTTTGATTATTATTTTTCTTATGCCTAAGGAAGTTAAACATTTATGAGTATATTTATTATTCATTTGTATTTCTTCTTGTAAGACCTGTCCAGTAGATTAGTCATTTATCAGTGTGTTGGCTTCTATATTTGGTATTTAATGTTGTTAGTTCTTTTTTGTCTTTTTTAATGTTTAAATTTAAATTAGAAACAAGGTTACTTCTCACATCAATCCCAACTCCCTCTCCCTCCCCTCTTCCCATGCCCTCCTAACAACCCCCCATCTGCCTCCCCCAATCCCCACTCCTTTCCCCAGAGAGGGTGAGGCCCTCCATGGGGGGTGTCCTGTTGTTAGTTCTTGAAAGATTCTAAATATTAGTTCTCTGTAAAATGTATAGCAAGAAAATATTGCCATTCTGTTGACTGTCACTGTATTGTTGTTTCTACAGCTCTGTAGAATATTTTTAATTTCATGCAAATTAATTTGTCAGTTTTTGCTATTGTTTCCTAATCTGTTTCCAGAATATTTTTAAGAGGCTTTTCTGTGCCTATATCTTAATTAAAATTTGTTTCTCCTATCTTCTTTTTTATTTTAGAATAATATTATTTTAGATACCAATTCCAGTTCCCACTCCCTCCCCTCCTCCTGCTCTCCCTACCTTCCTCCCAAGGCACTTCCCCATCCACTCCTCAGAGACCTCCCATAGGGAATCAACAAAGTCAGTCATATCATTTGAAGCAGGACCAAGGCCCTCCCCCCTGTATCTAGGCTGAGTAAGTATCTCTCCACAGGGAATGGGCTCCAAAAAACAAGTTCATGCACTAGGGATAAATACTTTTTCCCCTGCTAGTGGCCCCGCAGTATGTCACATTTTACATTATTGATTTTTATAAAGACATACAGGGATACAGGTTATTCTCTACATTTAGATGGCTAGTTTTGCTAAACTAGCAAAAAATACCTAAAAAGATAGGGCCCTTAAAATTAGGGCTATTATTAAGGGAATATTTTATTTGATTTCATGTGTTTGTTCAAATATTAATTGGCCTTGTTAGTCTCCTTTCATTGTACCAGGCACCTTATTGTTTACTGAATTGTATAGTTTTTCTATAATCTTTACCTTTTACTATCTTGAAGTCAGTACTTTTCTGTTTTCTCACAGTTAACATTGTATTTATTTCTCTTCTCTATGTAGGATTCCTTTAAATATATTTCTGATATTCTGGCTTGGTAGCAACTGATTGCTATAATTTGCACTTATCTGGAAAATATTTATTGATTAATTTTAATAGATAACTGCTAGATATAATTATCTCACTTGACATTTATTTACTTTAATACTTAAAATATATCATTTGCTATTTTTATGGCTTTTCATGTTTCTGCCAAGAAGTCTGATGTTATTCTGATTGGTTGTCACTTTTAAGTGGCATGGATGCTTCTTTGCGGCTTTTAATGTCATGTCTTTGTTCTTCAGTCTTAGCATACTATCCGTGGTTCTATAGGATTACATTTTACATCTAATACGTCTTAGAGAAGTTACTTTCTTGTTATTATCTGGTTTGGACTCTAAATGCCTCTTGTGCTTGAAGTTTAATTTTTCATGTAGAGTCGGGAAATTTTGTTTTAATTTCTGTACAAGTACCACGTGCTAGCAAGTAGTACCACTGGAGCTCCATCCGCTTTCATTTCTATGACTGTTTTCTGCATCCTGAGTTTTTAATCTCACCTCATTTTTCTGTCTGTAGACATATTTCACCTTGTGGTCATACTCCAGAAATGTGTTCTCAAGATTGCCTATTTTTTTCTTTATTCATGCATAAATGTGAAATTTCCTTCAACTTCTCTTTAAAACCTTAATACCCTTAATTTTGATTACTATAACTTATTGGTGATACTTCCTATGGGTTTTTATTGATTGAGTTTTTAATTTTCAGAATCTCAGTTTGCTTTCTGTCAAACTCCTTATTACTTTCTCATCTATGTTGCTCCCCTATGTATACATGCTCTGAGTTGATTTCATCACTTCATTCATGCGTGTGAAACTCCTAGAACTCTTTTTCACGTGTACTTTCAAAGTATTTTTCCAGCGTGTTAAACACTTCTGCAGTTTTTTTTTTGTATATCGTATTTGAGGAGATATTTTCATTTGCTTTGCTTTTTATATTTTTATATTTTGTGTTATTTCTATTTCATTTTGTAAGGGTATGTCTTCAAGTTTAACTTTGTCATAGGGTATAGCCATCCGTGGAGGGCTCAGTCTCACGTCCCAAAATGAAAGAAGAAAAGAAAGCACTGCAGTAGCTAAACTATATATAGAAGTACATACAGAAAGCATTATATCCAACTACTGTGCCCCAACAACTATGGAACAGATACATAAATAGTGTACAGTCAATTATTCAGTTAAAACTCAATTTGGGCACAGTTAGGACTAGTTTTACTAAGTGGCTTTGAAAAAGAGCACATATAGTTGGGAGGAGTTTAGAGGTGGGAATGGATCTAGAAGGGCATATGGGCAGGACTCGGGTTGAGTATGAACAGAATACATTGTATGCATGTATGAAATTTTCAAATAATAAAATGTCCTATTTTAAAAGTAGAAAAAATAATAAATGAATAAAGTAAATGAAGAAGACAGAAAGGATATGGATATAGGGCAGTGAGATTTTTGCTGGAATTTTGGTCTTAGTGCATTCATTTCTCACACAGCAGTAAACCATCTGTGAGAGGGAGGAGGCTGCTGCAACCTAAGGCCTTTGTGGACCCGGAACTCTGGAGTCTCAGTTTCACCCACATTGAACTATACAGAAGGTAAGTGGCTCCAGATATAGAACTGCTACCCAACCTCAAGCATGGGGTCATCAATTTCCTCAGTCATCACCAGGTGGCAGAGAGTGCTCATTAGCACATAAGTGATAGGACCTCAGAGTGGTGGGCCTTTCAATACCCAAGGATCTGCTGTCTGCATTTTTCAGCACGTCCTTGCCTGTCAGTCACGCATCGCTCTCTTCTACAGGTGTCTCCCACAAAGCTAGTCCAACAGCCTCTCTCTAGTCCTTCTCATTTTGCAACTGCTCCTTGTTTTATTTACAGAGCATTTTTGTCTCAACGAGTTGGTCTCTCTCAAGAGTGCACCTGTTTGGAAAGCCGTCAGACCCTAAAGAGGAAAAAAATTATTTTCCCCTTATGTTGACTAGTGCAAATGGCAGAGTCACAGTCCCCAAACTTTCCAGATTGAATTAATTTGTTTGTGATAATCTTGGGCTGGCATTTATGGTAGGGGTGTCCATCTGTTTTTGTAAGAGACACATTATATTTGGAAGTGGCTCATGGGACTGGTGCTGGAGCTTTTAAGAGCTCGCTACTCTTGAATGAATAGCCTTTCTGTCTGTCTCTCAGCACCTTCAGTTGTTCTATCTCTTCCATTGCAATTCCTGATGTTTTATTCAATAGCCATCCTTTTTTTACCCTGTTATTTGTTTTATTTGCTTGAATGGATTTGGATTTTGGAAATAGGGTGTCATGTAGTCCAAGGTGCATTTTTAACTCGTTAATATAGTTGAGAATACCTTGAATTACTAATCCAGCTGATTCCACCTTCTATGTCCTGGGAGTGCAGGCATATAGCACTACACCTAGTTCTCTATCTCTTTTTGTTTACTATGTAGTATATACATAACTTTTAAGGTTTTTTACCCAAGAATTTCATGTTTTCTTATGACTGTATTGAAATTATACATTTGTGACAAAAATACCTGTTCTTATGGCATTTGTACACTCTTTTGCTCATTTTGGTATGGGAGGTATATTCACCATGGTGTTTCAACAGTGGCTAAATATATGAAACCTGGCAGCAGACCTGACATCTTCACAAGATGCAGAGATGTTTTTTACTCTTTTACTCTTTGAAGGACCCACCATCCAGCTCCCAAATAAATACACAAATACATACTCTTACTTACGAATGTCTGGCCTTACGTTGGATTATTTCTAGCCAGTTTTTGTTTTCCTTTTTTTAACTTTTTGATTTTTATTCTTTGAAAATTATGAACATGTATACAATTCATTGTTAAAATTGTTTCATTTACAATTGAGATCATTACAATGTCATTTTCTTCTTCCCTTTCCTCCATCCAAACCCTCTCATACGCCACTCTTCGCTCTCTTTTAAATTATTTTTGTGTGAAGTGCATGCTTTCTTTGGCAACAGGGACTAGTCTTTATTCCTGGAGGGCAACCAATGACCTTTGCAGTAGCTTGTAAAGTTTGATGAATCTCTTGGTCAATGCTGACCAATAACACAGAAGAGGGCTTCTCATGCCTGGTGTTGGGGCTTTTGTTAGATGGTCTTTGGTTCTTCATGGATTTATGTGAATTTTGTGTTTTTTTAGGTAGTTAGTAGTATTATTGCTTATGACCTTTTCAGACATCCTTGCTGTGGGTTTACTCTCCTCCCTCCTTCTGTATTTATCTTCCTTATGCCTTTCTTTTAATACTCCACATGTGTTTAATTCTTGTCTTGCTTATTACACTTTACTGTTTGCACATTCAGCAATTCTCTCAAACAGCACTTCTGACAGTAGATGGAAGTTATCTTAAAACAACAGCACAGCCGGGCATTGGTGGCACATGCCCTTAATCCCAGCACTCCAGAGGCAGAGGCGGGTGGATCCCTGTGAGTTGGAGGCCAGCCTGGTCTACAGAGAAAGTTTCAGGACAGCCTCCAAAACAATACAGAGAAACCCTGTCTTGAAAAACAACAACAACAATAATAATAATAATGATAATAATAAAACAGCACAATTGGATTTCCTTGACCTCATAGGTCATGTTATCTTCTCTTTGTACACTGTGTCACTATCACAACAGTCATAAAATTCTGAGTTTCCAAATGGCCCAAATACTGTATATTCTTTTCCCCCCTTTAATTTATTTTTTACATTCCAATCCCAGTTCCCCCCTCCTCCCCTCCAGTTCCCCCCACTTCCCCACCACCACCCATCTGTTCCTCAGAGAGGGTAAGGCCTCCCTTTGGAAGTCTACGAATTCTGTCCCATTATCTTCTTAAGGCAGGATCAAAGCACTTTCCACTCCCCATACCCTTGTGTCTAGGCTGAGTAAGGTATCTCTCCCTATAGAATGGGCTCCACAAGTCAGTTTGTGCATTAGAATTAGATCTTGGATCTACTGCCAGTGGCCTCATATATTGTCCAAGATGCACCATTGTCACCAATATTAAGGAAATCTAATTTGGTGTTATGCAGGTTCCCCATTTGTTAAACCTGAGTTAGTGATCTCTCACTAGCTTGTGTCAGCTGATTCTGTGGGTTTCCCCATCTAAGTCTTGAACCCTTTCTTCATATTATTGCTCCTCCCTCACTTCGATTGTACTGCAGGAGCTTGGCCCAGTGGTTAGTTGTGGATTTCTGCATCTGCTTCCACCTATTTCTGGAAGAGGGTTCTAGCTTCTCTGGGGTTGTAGATTGTAGGCTGGGTATCTTTTGCTCTATGTCTGGTATCCACTTACAAGTGAATACACACTATATTTGTCTTTCTGGTTCTGGGTTACCTCACTCGGGATGTTTTTTCTAGTTCCACCCATTTGCCTGCAGATTTCAAGATGTTACTGTTTTTTACTACTAAATAGTACTCCATTGTGTAAATGTACCACATTTTCTTTATCCATTCTTCAGTTGAGGGGTACCTAGGTTGTTTCCAACACCTGGTTATTACAAATAATGTCGCTATGAACATAGTTGAGTAAATGTCCTTGTGGTGTGAATGTGCCCTAAAGTAGTATTGTAGGGTCTTGAGGTAGGTTGATCCCTAATTTTCTGAGAAACCACCATACTGATTTCCACAGCAGCTGTACAAGTTTGTACTCCCATCAGCAATGGAGGAGAGTTCCCCTTTCTCCACATCCTATCCCACATAAGTTATCATTGGTGTTTTTGATTGGTGTAAAATGGAATTTCAGAGTTTTGATTTGCATTTCCCTGGTCGCTAAGGATGTTGAACATTTCCTTAAATGGCTTTCTGCCATTTGAGATTGTTCTTTTGATAATTCTCTGTTTGTATCTGTACCCAATTTTTAATTGGATTATTTGAGAGTCTGATGTCTAGTTTCTTGAGTTCTCTGTATATTTTGGAGATCAGTCCTCTGTCAGATGTGAATATCTTTTCTCATTTGGTAGGAAGACAGTTTGTCTTGTTGACCTTTTTTTTTTTTTGCTTTACAGAAGCTTCTCAGTTTCAGGAGGTTGCATCTATTGATTGTTGCTCTGAGTGTCTGTGCTACTAGTGCTCTGTTAAGGAAGTGGTCTCCTATGTCTATGTGTCCTTTCCCACTTTCTCTTCTATAAGGTTCAGTGTAGATGGATTTATATTTAGGTCTTTGATTCATTTGGACTTGAGTTTTGTGCATGGCTATAGATATGGATCTATTTGCATTCTTCTACATGTTGACACCAAGTTATACCAGCGCCATTTGTTGAATATGCTTTCTCTTTCCATTTTATATTTTTAGCTTCCTTGTCAAAAATTAGATGTTCATAGGTATGTGGGTTGATATCATGGTCTTCTATTTGATTGCATTGATTCATCTGTCTGTTTTTATATCAGTACCAAGCTACTTTTATTACTATAGCTCTATAGTAGAGCTTGAAGTCAGGGATGGTGATGCCCCCAGATGATCCTTTATTGTACAGGATTGTTTTTAGCTTATTTTTCTTTTGCATCTGGGCTTTTAGTTTCTCTATTCTGTATGCCTTTCTTTACTTCTTTCTTACTCCACAGCTTGCTGTGTAGCTGGGTGGCTGTCTCCTGATGTCCTCTCTCCTTCTCCTTTTCTCACTCCTCCATTCTCTCCTCATATTTATTCTCTCTGCATGCCAGCCCTGTCTATTTTTTCTCTTGTCTAGCTATTGGCCATTTGACTCTTTATTAGACCAATCAGGCGTTTTAAGCAGGCAAAGTAGCACAGCTTTACAGAATTAAACAAATGCAGCATAAAAGAATGCAACACATCTTTGCATCATTAAACAAACATTCCATAACATAAACAAATGTGATGCATCTTACACTAATATTACACAACAGATACTACTATAGAAGTCCAACTGTGCTTATATTTTGAGTATGTGAATTATTATTATTATTATTATTATTATTACTATTATTCAGATAATCCAATATAAAACTGTGTATTTGGAAAAGTACCACTCCTTCTTACCATGTTATCCTTTCCAATTTCTTTCCTATCCTTCACATTTTGCTATAGTATTACTTATACTTATTTTGCACAAAGGAAAGTTGGCATAATTTCTTACACTGTTTTCTTACACGAGAGACAGCTTAGGGTACACATTTCTATTTTCATTTAACAGCGTTTCTTTTTATTGAACATAGATTTTTTTTCATATATTTATTCTGATTATAGTTTCCCCTCCCCAACTCCTCCCACCTCCCCATTAACCCAAATCTGTATCTTTTCTATCTCTCTCTCATTAGAAAACAAATATCTAAACGATTAACAAAATGATATGAACTAAAATAGAATAATAGAACAAAAACAAACCAGAATAGGGCAATTCAAACAAACAAACAAACAAAAGAAAAACAGAAAAAGCACACATTCACACAGATAGAACACCCATAAAAAAAACAAAATCTGAAATGTAATCACACTTTCTTTGGACTGCCAGCTCCCAAATAATGACATGGAGATTTCATACTAATTCTGAAAGTTTAGCCTTACCTTAGGCTTGTTCTCAACTAGCTCTCAAAACTTAAACCAACTTGTTTGTATTAATCTGTGTGCGACCTCATGGATCATTACCTCTCCTCCATACTGTGTGTCTTATTTCTCCATGTCTCACTGGCAAATTCTGCCTCTCTTCTTCCCAGAGTTCCTATCTCTACCCAGAAGTCCTAAATATCCTTTCCTGCCTAGCTATTGGCCTTTCTGCACTTTCTGAAGCCAAACAGACGGTTCCTTGGCAGAGACACATCTTCACAGTGTACAAAAAGAGTATTCCACAACATACTATATAAGCAAAAGACCTGTAAGGGTAAAAAATATACCCCAGAAATGCATTATTGGACAAAAACCCTCCAAAAATGCCATTGAGTTCATTTTGTGATAACCATCTACTGCTAAGCATAGGGCCTGCTCTTAAATCTGGCTTGTATATCCAGTGAGACTCTTGGAGAAAGCTGTTTGTTCTTTGTAAGAAGTTATCAATTATTGAAAGCTTCTGAGTTAGGAATGGGGTCTTATGTCCACTTTTGCATGCCCTGAGCATGTTGCCTAAGGGCATCATTCCTGTTGAGTCTAGAAGGCCTTGGACTCTTCCATCCCCCGTAGCTCTTACAGTCTTTTTGCCTACTCTTCTGGAGTGTTCCCTGAGCTATGATGGGAGGGATTTGATAGAGATATCCCATTTAGGACTCAGTGTCACCAGCTGATAGCATTTCTTGAAATGTCGGCCTAACATTTCTTAAGAGATTTTCATTGTTCTTTTTTACACTTGGCATCAGACACATTTGAATGTCTATACCATGCCATTTTAAATATACCTCTGTGCGGGGTTTTTAATTGCTTATATCTTTAAATTATATATAATGCTTCAGTGAATATCCTTGGAGATATGTGTGTGTGTATACACATATATCTATTTATAGAAGTAGATTTTGGTAGGATATTTAAATTTTATTCCTCACAGTTTCACTAATAGAACACAATTACTTTATAATTTTGCCTATATGTTTCTAGAGACTGGGCCATAACGCAGTGTTACATTAATGTACTACATATATGTAATTGTAATTAAAATTTGGCATTTGTTAGTTCGTGTTTTTCTTCATTTTTATGCCTTTATTGGTCCTTTGTTCCTCAGTTTTTAAATTCTTTATATAAGAAACATAGTTTCCACTTGTCTGGGATGTTTTACTACTACATCATTTTAGTCTCTAAGTTCCCTTTAGAAATGCTTGCATTTGATGTTTTTAAATCCTTTGCTTTTCATTTGGTCAGATTACTTATTGCTTCCTTTCTTACCTCTATAATTGAGTGACATTTAGAAATCTCTTCCCTATAGTTAAGCTTAAAGAAGACCTGTCATGTTTTCTTCAAGAAACTGTGTGATTCAAATTTTTGCTTAAATCTTTAACTCAATTTTTAGTTACTCTATAGATGAAATATTTCCCTGTTCTGCTTTAAGGTTTTTTCTAAAAGCCATATTCTATACATTACATGCCTGTCTTTCCTAGTGGTTTCTTCCTGTCACGTTTAGTTTTTTATTTATCTTAATTATATTTTGTGTGTATGGGTTTTTTTGCCTGTTATATATCTGGGTAGCACATTTGTGCAATACCCATAGTTGCCAAAAGAGGGCATCAGATCCCCTGGAACTAGGGTTAAGGATGGTTTTCAAGTCTGGGAATTACTATCTGTGCCCTCTAGAAGATCAGCCAGTGCTCTTAACTGCCAATCCATCTTTTCAGCCCAGTCTTCATTGAGCACTAATGCCCATCAGTGTTGACTACTGTTTCTAGGTTTTCTAACCTACTGTAACAGGCTATTTGTCTATTCTTATAGACATCTTAGTGACAAGACACTGTAATTACAGACATTCTCTAGAAAGTTTTAATTTTCTCGGTATGGTATCAGGAATCCATTCTCAGGTCTCTTCCTAGCTATTCTTACATACTGTATCATATATGAACTTTACTATCAGGCTGTCTAACTCAGTAAAATGCAGATATTTTTGAAATTGTATTAAATCTATACATCAACTTAGGAAGAATTTTAATGTTGAGTTTGTTAGTCAAACTTAAATGGCATTGATCCACTACCCTTATCATGAAATCTGGAGTCCTTATTCAGTCATATCAGGCACATCCACAGCTGAATTTTGAACCAAAATACTGAAATGTTCAGAGATATTCCTAGGAACATGGTGACCTTGTAATGGAGCACAAACAGAAATTTCTTGAATACATTTCACTAACATTTGTAACAATGTGCGGAGTCAGCTGTTTTGCTTGAGACTGCCCAGTCCCTTTTCAGACTGACTTTTTCTTCACACAAAAGAAAGTTCTTCACAAGTAGGAGGTGCTTAAACTCTCTTGCGCCTTGAGCATGAACAAACGTTGTGTCCCTGAGATTGAAATCCTGGAAGCCTCAAGAAATTAACACTTCTTTATTCTTAACTATGATAATTTTATCTTAATCATCAAGTTATATTATCCAAGAACAATGCTGTAATGTGTACCAGTTGCTGTAGCAAGGTACCATATTAGGTAGGTGGTAAGCAACAATAATTTTGTTTCTAATGGTTTTAATGTATTGGCTTGGAACTTTCCTTTATTTTGTTTATTCATGCGATACTATATTGTTTTAGAAACTAACTTAATCATGCTACTTTCTGTTTGTCAGTGTCATACAGGTCTTTTAGAGAGTTTTGTTGTTCCGGCAGTAGTAGAAAAACTTGGAAGCTTTCTGACTCTTTTATGTGTTAGAAAACCTTTAAAGTTCCCTCATTTTCCTGCTTTCCCCATCATTAACAAATTCTCGTGAATGTTTGTCCTATCCCCATCAATTTACTTTTCCCCAGAATCTGTGTGCTTCAAAGATTGCATTTTAAACCCTCCATATTGCTTATCTGATACTTATTTGCTATTGATTATTTGTAACACATATTTATAATACATCTTAATGAGACTCATTGTGATTTATCCATACCAATCTCTATCTTACATGAATTATATCCCAGCTGTGCTTTGCCACCCAAACCCCTGGCACTGATCTCAGACCCTAGAAGTGAGTATTCCATTATCAGATTATTTCTTACTTTCCACAGGTGAGACAACATACAGCTTTAAAATGAACATTTTTGAAGTCTTTTCCATAAACTATGTGGCATTCTTTTGATTTTATGTGTTCTTTTCATCTTTAGGCTTTATTCATGAGTAGTTTTTTAAATATGCTCAATTTGAACTTTAAGTTCTTAGCCATCTTCCTTCACGTGTGTCTTGTGCAGTTTGGTGTCTTCATTTGCCACAGATATGGTGATGGAAATGAGACAAATCAAGGGCTAGAATGTCATTTCTTTTTCACTTTAATCACAATTAATTTGGTGTTTTAATATGTTCTATTGTAGCATTTTGTGTAGATTTATCTTTTTCTTCATCATAGCTTATATACTACTGAGGGAAAATAGTAGAAGTCATGTAGCCAAGTGTCCAAAATTGTTTTCTTCTTACTTACTACCCATTTCTAATGGCATTTTATCACACACATTTTATATACATATATATATATATTATACATAGGAGGGGGATAGTCTCTCTCTCTCTCTCACACACACACACCTTTATCCACTCACAGGTCACTTTTTAATCTGTGTCTGTAGTTAGAAGTATCTAGTGCTGACTAACTGATTCATTTATTATTTAAATATTTTCTGCTTTGCTAGCACTGGTTGCAAAGAAGACACTTGTGTGTTTTCCCAGAACTTCTAAATGTTTCTCCTCCTGGTACAGGTTCACAAAGATGGATGCATATCAGCCAAAGAAACTGATGGATCTTGCTATACAGAGTCTGCTGAGCAGCAAGTCTGCAGCACTCCAAGCTCTGGAGGATATTCCAAGAGATCTTTTTATTCCATTGTTCATTGCTGCCTTCGATGGTGGGCATAAAGATACATTGAGTGAGATTGTGAAAGTCTGGCCCTTTTACTGTCTCCATATTGGGCCATTAATTGTACAGGAGCCTCAACATGAACTACTGAAAGCCATGATTGAGAATTTTCCAGTATGTCCTGCAAAGAACTCTGCTTCTCGGTAAGACTGTATAATAGAGACATGATAAGACATGAGAGGTTTAGGTCACAGCCTACTACTTTCCCAGAAGAAGTAGCTAGTGAGCTGAAGATTTATGTGTGAGGCTGTAGCCCCTACCTTGGTAACATACTAAAGACTGATGTCTTCAGTGTTCGTTATGAAATATGTTATTGAGGGCTCTATTGGGTTTACATAACAGGTGTTAAGTAAGAGAAAGACAGGAACTTTAAGACTGAGGGAATTTAAGATGTTTAAAGTATGAAAAAAATAAAGGAGGTTGAATTTTCATGGGAAAGACTTGTTGCTAGTTAATACAAGGAATGCCAGATGTGGAGAAAAGGATTTGTTCATATGTGTCATCATTAATCCTACTGGGTTTCGTTGTCATTTGCTATTTCTCAGATATTCTATCTCCTCTTACCCCTACAGGAGACCTAAACTGAGGATCTTAGATTTAAGGCAAGACACGGACTGTAGGACCACATGCCCTGAATTCAGCATCAAATCACCTTTCTGTTTTTATTCTTGTGTTTATTCTGACCACTCTATCACAAAAATAGAGGAAAATCTTTGTTTTGAAAATTCAGGATCCACAATTCAGTTACCCAGGCCTGTAGAATTACTAGTGGATCTTTCCCTCGATGGCTCCTTAATGGAAAGGGAATTTTTGATTTTGCTTATGAATAAAATTAAGGAGAGTTCAGGGTCTTTGCACATATGCTGTCGAGATTTGCAAGTTGATAAATTGTGTGGCTGTAAATGCTCCCTGAATTTTCTGGATCTCAAATGTGTTGCTCAGTTGTCAGTTGATAAGGGTTCACTGAGTGATATTTCCAAGGTCCTGTCTCAGATGGACCACTTAGAAAGCCTTAGTCTGTTTAAAGTCACTTTTAGATCTTTGAGTGGAAAAGTCTTTAAAAATTTTCTCGGTCACTTAAGACGTATGGAAAACCTTAAGGAGCTCAACTTGTCTTCATTTTATCTCAAAAACAATCTGGACAGAGTGCTCAGGTAAGAGTTTGGGACAGGTCCCTGTGTTTCCTGGAAAGCCTGTTGAGACAGGAGAGAAAATATTTTTGGGTGTTCCTACACTCCTCAAAACCTTTTATGCTTTCTACTTTGTAACTTCTGAGAATTTGAAACTGAAGAAAGAATTACACAAATTAAGCAGCCAACAATGTACAGATAAGTGGAGAAGTATAAAGGTGAACAAAAAACTAGTCCTCTAGATATGAGGAGTAAGAGGAATTGAGATGGGGGGAAGACTGTTTTTGCTATAGCATTGATGCACATAATCATAGATGCCCATAGTTCACAATGTTGGATCACTTTGCTAGTCTGTAATCTCCAAGGTGTAGGCCATGAAAGTAGAGGTTGGTATTTAGGGACTGGCCAGGGACTTTTCAGTTGCCTACTCATTTTGATACCTCCCTACTAAAAAGATAAGCTGAAATTTACAATGGATAATATTGCAAGTATCAAGTGCATTAATTTTTTCTTTTAATGTTTCCTAAAAATCATATAATATATTGTATGCATTCTTAAGATTAAAAGAACTGTATCTCAGTGTTGAAAACAAAACTCTCAACCAGATATGGTGATACATGATCTTAATCTTAGCACTCAGGAGGCAAAGACAGGCAGACTATGTGAGTTCAAAACCAATGTGGTCTCCATCGTGAGTTCCAGGACAGCGAGGCCAACATAGTAAGATCCTGTCTAAAAAATATTTCTGGCTGGGCATGGTGGCACATGCCTTTAATCCCAGCACTTGGGAGGAAGAGGAAGGTTGATCTCTGTGAGTTCGAGGCCAGCTTGGTCTTCAGAGTGAGTGCCAGGACAGGCTCCAAAGCAATACAGAGAAACCCTGTGAAAAAACAAAAAAAATTTCTGAGTCACAAAAATATTATGTGAACTAAAAGCACACATTAACACCCACTTATAATGCATGTGAAAAATAGTTTATTCTATATAAAAAGGTAAAGTTTTCCTCATTCAATCTTCATTCCTCAATTTTTTGTTGTTTTCTCCCTACAGAGTTCTTCCACCTGTTTTGGATTTCTTGTATCTGCCATACTGTGATCTTTCATATCGAGATTTCAGATTTCTGGCCCAGTGTCCTCAGGCCTCCCGCCTAAAGCTGTTGAATCTTAGTAACAACTCAATGTATTGGGATAATTTTGAGCCCTTCAAAATTCTTCTGGTAAATCTCTCTGGTACTATTCAGCATCTAGAGATAAATCATTGCCTTATAAGCGATTCTGCAATGTCATCTCTTATCCCTGCCCTAATTCGTTGTACTCATCTCCGTATCCTGAGCTTTGCTTCTAACCCCATCACAATGCCTGTGCTTGCGAATATCATGAATAGTTTAACAACCTTGAAGAAGCTAAAAATTGTAATTTATCCTATCCCTGTACATTGCTATGAACGATGGCATTTTCAGGGCAGTTTAGACCGAAGGAAGCTTGCCATTGTGCAACTTCAACTGAAGGCAATGTTACAAACTGCAGAAAGGGATGACATGAACTGGATCACTTACACGGAGTGAGTTTCATAGTCCAACACAGTTTCAACCTGATAAACATTGTTTAAGTAATAAATGTTATTTTCTAGACCAATACACTCGATATATAAGATTCTTACACTGAAGGGACTTTCACTTAGGGAATTGCACTTAGGGAATATAGGTATGTAACTGAGTGTCAAAGCGCACACTAGTAACTCCAGTGCTGAAAGTGAAGGATGGAATAGCCTTAGAGCTACGTGGCCAGACATTCTAGCAAATTAGTGGATTCTAAGTTCAGTGAGAAATCCTGCCTCAGAAAATATGTATAGAAGAAAAAAAGCAGATATTGGCTTTGGGCATGCATGAGTTCACTAGTGTGCGCGCATGCACACACAAGCATAACATGCACCTTCTCCCACACATAAAAATATATTACTCATATTAATTTCTTCAAATAGCACACTGCATCACAAAGACATGGCAAAGATATAAAATTAGCATTTGTTCTTTTCACATGTTTTAATGCCAAAAATGGCTGCATTTCAGTGACTGAGTAACAAAAGAATAGACTATAATAATTTACACATAATGTTTTCCTATTGAAATAAATTAGTAAAACAATGGCTTATATCTTTACATTATTTTCTTTTTGAGTGAGGTCATACTCGGGTTCAGTCTGACCACAAATAAAATCAACTGACATTTTTTTTTAGCAGTGACACTGGTGAATATATCAAACTGTATTTTACAGGTGGAATACAATATGAAAACTGCCAAGGCAATTAAAATTTGTTTTTATTCATTTTCTTTTTGTAGTAACATTGTATTTCCAAATTAATAAGAAAAAAGCATGTTAAAATATGCCATAATTCATGTGTCATATTTCTTTTGTGATATAACACTTTAATTTGTTCTATTTTCCACAATGCTTATATTACGATGTCAAAGACCTACTAGAATGCCAGTGTAATGAGCAATTTACTTACATTGGTTCTAAGTTTAAAATTGTGGGTTTTTTGACACCTTGTATTAAATAAAATATTAAAATTAAGTTTACCTGTTTCTTTGAATTTTCTTTTTTTTAATGTGGCCCTTACTATATATTCTCTGAATAAGCTTGGATCTAGTGCTCTCAGAAACATAGTTCTGAACGGTAGCAGAATACTGGGGAAGATGCAACTGGATTAATATTGGCATATTTTCTCTCTCTCCTACATCCTTCCCTGAGATGAAAACTAGACTCTACAATGAAGAGAGAATTTGGAATTCATTATTGTTGTAATGACAATGTGAATAATATTCTTGGAAATTCCTATTGCAAGAAGGTGGCCTCAATATTCTGTTTTCAATAGATTTGAAAAACAACCTAAGTGAGTGTACTATGTTGCTTTTACGTGGCTGTGACAAAACAGTGTCCAAAAGCAACTGAGGGAGGAAAAGTTATATTTGACTTACATGTCCCAGTCTCATTCCATTATTGGGGAAGTCGGGGCAGGAACTCAAACAGAATCAGAGGCAGCGAAGATGGAAGAAAGCTGCTTAGTGGTTTTCTGTGGCTTGCTGAGCTACCTGTCTTACACAACCCAGGACCAGTTGCCCAGGAGGCACTGCCCACAGTGGTCTGGGCCCTATCCTATCAACCATTAATCAAAAATATGCCCCAAAGACTTGCTTACAGGTAAATCTCTTCCTCCATGATTCTAGTTTTTGACAAGCTGAGAAAAATCTAACCAGTGCAGTTGACTACTGTCAACTTGACACATAAACATAACTGCTAAACTATAACTTTGTTTAGCCCCAATATCTCGTGTTAATATCACAATATAAGAATATGACCTTAAATATACTACAGCCTTCAATTTTTACAGTACATTAACAGTTTAAGGTCTCTTTTTAAAATTAATTTTTATTAAAACCAATTTTATTTTACATACCAATCACAGTTCCCTCTCCCTCTCGTCCTCCCATCCTCCCCACCAACCCCCAATCCCACCCCCATCCACTCCTCAGGGAGGGTGAGGCCTTCCATGGGAAATCATCAAAGTCTGTCACATCATTTGGGGCAGGACCTAGGCCCTCCATGGTGTGTCTGAAACAGTATCCCTCTATAGGGAATGGGCTCCCATAGCCCATTTGTGCACTAGGAATAAATACTGGTTCCACTTCCAGAGGCCCCATAGACTGCCCGGACCCCCCAACTGACACCCACATTCAGGGGGCCTGGTTTGGTCTTATGCTGGTTCCCCAGCTGTCAGACTGGGTCTGTGAGCTCCCACTTGCTAAGGTCTCTAAAAATTCAGTTTCTTAACTGATTTCCTGTACAATTAAAAATAAGTTTATGAAAACTCCATAATGAAACCTACTATTTTGTAGGGTAATTTAAATATATATATATTATGTTTTATTCAAATTATTTTAATATTTTGTCACATTTGTATGCAAAAGATACATACACATGTGGAGTTTGGAAGACAACTTGCAGGAAGTGGTTCTATCTTTCTGCCTGGTGAGTCCGAAGGACTAAGCTCAGGCTGACAGGTGTGGCGTCAGGTGCCTTTATCCACTGAGCCTTCTCCCAATCTCCTAACAGGTGTTTAAGAAGTTAAAAGTACCTTCTTTTGTGAGACAGTATAGATTTATCTGGTTCCAAATTATGTGTGATAGATTAACATAATCAGCTTACATTTTAATTTGTTATAAATCCTGTTTTGTAAACCTACAGCAAAGTTTTTTTTCTTCCCTCAGCCTTAATTTAGAGAATTAATGTTTTAAAGCGCTGAAACTTAAATATTCCAGCAGGAGGCCAAAGTGAACATTTCAATATGTTCTTTTTAGTTAAACCTGGCTGAGATAAAGACTTTGAATAATAAATTTTTCAAGGGCCATAAAAGTAGAAAGGGGGACAGAGATACTGGTCGGTGGTTAAGAACACTGGATGCTATCTCCAAGGACCTGGGTTTGCTTCCCAGCACCCACACTGGGGGCACAACAATCTGTAACTACAGTTCAGAGGATCTGACATTCTCTTCTGGCCTCTTTGGGCACTAGACCCACATAGTACACAAAACTCCATGTGGGCAAAACACTAGCAAACATAAAATAGAAACGGAAAAAATTTAGATACAGACAAGCAACAAGCCCTGGAAGTCCAAACCTCACATTTTGAATTAGATTCGTTAGAAATAATTTAGGATGGTGTGGGCTTTGAAAATGTAATAAAAGGCTTTAGTTGTATTTCTCAGTTTTGTTTAGGAAACCTAGAGACAAATTACAGTCCATCATGGTGATTGATGGGATGTGATGTGATGTGATACAAGCTTCATAGGTATGTATTTCTGGTTCACCAACACTTCCAGGTGATCCTCATAGATGCAGATGTACTTATATTATGGCACTTGTACATCTAGGTAAGATTTGATGGCACAACTACACGTTAAGGTCAGACTCTGCCCCACCTACAGTTCCAGGTGTATCTTCACATTTCACTTGCCCTACATGAATTTCAGTCATGCTACTGCACATTGCTGTCATCTGAACTCTGAAATCACTGTTTTCCAGGGTTGTAACTTGGCACACCTTACCCAGAAAAGAACCTGAGGAATGCCCTGCACCATTCAGGGAAGCCCTCTACTCTAGGATCTCCAAAGCTTAGCTGTTTATTCATCTTACAACTACTTCCAGTCTCCACCATGTCTCTCTATCAATGGAAAATTCCATCCCAAACTGGCCCCAAGGCTCAGGATCAGGGAGCAGTATTTAATTGCAATGGCCCCTGCCCCATTCCAAAGCTGCCCCTTTTCTTCAAATAACTCCTGTGTAAAAATCTCCTCAGATTTTTCTAGTTTTTTTTTTACATTTGACGTTTCCAGCAATATTTGTTAGACTGTGCACAGTGACCTGCAGTTCCTCTTTTAGCACGTGCACAGTTCCTGTGGCTTGGGATTCTTTCGCCTACCACTCTGGTTCAATACCCATTGTTTTCCATGCATTCACACACTGGCATCATCCCTGTCCTTCATTAGTTTCTGGTAACTTATCTGTTTTCCAAATGGTCTCTAAAATGAATTTCCCAGAGGAATGGGAAGATGGATCAGTGGTTAAGTGCATTTGCTATTCACAGAAGATCTGAATTGGTTCCCAGCACCAATGTAGATTGGTTCACAAATGCCTGTAACTCCAGCGCTAGGTAATCTGACACCCCTTTCTTGAAGTTGTGTGCAATTTCCCTTGCATGTTCAAATACGCACAGACATACACATATACATATAATTAAACAAAATTTTAAAAATTGGGTTGCCAAGAAAAGATGATATTTTAATATAACAATATAAAATGTGAATGTTTATTTGTAGAGATTTTATTTTATTACTATTGAGTCTTTTAATACTAGAGTATAGAATATCCTTTCGTTGTTCAACGCTTTATTAGTTGACTTTCAGAAGTTTTGAAATGTTCCCACTGTTTGGCAAAGCTTATATAATGTCACCTTTTTATCATTATCAAGTTGACTTTAATTCAGAGTTATGGGGATGGTTTAACACAAGCAAATAGATGCAAAACACAATAGAGATGGTATCCAAGACAGGAATCACATAATCATTTCAACAGACGCGTGAAAGGCCTTTGTAATGTAACTCTTTTAACTCAGCTCCTGCAGGAGGGAACACAGGAGACAAGAGAAAATAAAAGTGATACAACTTTGCCAAACTGAAGCCCTGTTTTTCAAAAAAGCAGAAGGTTCCAATCACCCAGAGCCAAGGCTACATCGGAGGCCTTCTGTGTGACCTTGGCTCTGGGGGATTGGAGTACATAATCTGCAGGACTTTCTCCAGTTCTCACCACGAATGTAGCTCTCAGCTCAGCTCACAAGAACTTACACACTACTTTATAGGAGGTTTTGACTAATTCTACAATTGCAGACAGTGTCAAATCAGGTCTTGGTCTTAAATGTGCTGTGGTTTTTTCTTTGATACCTCCACGTTTCTGCTTTGCTCCCTTTGTTGTTGTTTTGATATTTTATTTATACATGGATATAATGTGTTTGGAGCCAATATACCTTCCATTCCATCCCCTCCAATTCTCTCATGGCAGTGTGTGCCTGCATCCTTAGCACTGACATACAGAGACAACTGGATCGTGAGACTCACTTGTCATTCAGCCCAGCAAAAATGAAGAACTACAGATTCACAAAGGGATCCTGTCTCAAAAAATAAGGTGAAGAAGTGATCAGAGAAGACATCCAACCTCTAACCTCCACACAGGAGATAGAAACACACACACACACACACACACACACACACACACGTAAAAAGAAAGTAGTTCCTTGACACTTGCGCTGGGTTCCCAGAAAGGAACATGCAGGTACAGACCTTACCTTCCAGAGTTGAATAACTGCTAATTCAGCAGAGGTATTTTAAAAATTGTTTCAGTAGTGTTTGGTGGCTCATGCATTTAATACCAGGACACAGGAGGGAGAAGCAGGGAGATCTATGTTAGTTCAAGGCTCTCATGATTTATGTAGAGAGCTACAGGAGAGCAAGTGAAGTCTCCCCAAAATTCTTATTATCAATGCGCCAGTCAAATACCAAGGTGAGGGGCTTTTCCCATAGCTTGTGTTGACCCACTTTTCCTGTTTCTGTGAGTCATTCTAATTGCTGTTGGTGTTGGTGGTGTTTTTGTCTCAGTTTTTTTTCCTCTTTTTCTTCTGGCCCTCACTATTCTGCCATCTGCATCTCCAGAAAACATTGGTCTGTTCTCAAGCCTGCTCTTGTGTGCTCTCTCTCTCTCTCTCTCTCTCTCTCTCTCTCTCTCTCTCTCTCTCTCTCTCTCTCTCTCTCTCTCTCTCTCTCTCAAGTTTCCGAGCATCTTATCATAAGCAGGCATCACCAATTACAAGAGCAGTTTGTCTAGAGGAAACCTTAAACACTCCTATTCATTGCTTTCTCTTCTTTGAAATGCCTTCATGTTCATGATTAGAAACATGAAACTGTAACTGGGGTATCACTGTGGAGGTTTGACTTTTAGTTCTAATACACACACATACGTGGGGGGTGGTG